AATCATAAAATATAAAAATAATTATAATCTGCATTGAAATTCGAAAATGACTAATATTGTGAAACAAAAAACTTTATCCAAAACGGCTTATATTATAAAACGAAAGGAATCTATTATTAAATGACAAACAATATGAAGAATACATGCAAGTTATATCTATTTGACAAAAAAGTAGTTACTATATATAAATTGACTTGATTTAAAATATATTGTGATTCTCAAAATATACTATACGGCAAACCCGAATACATACAAGTTACCATCATAGTACCAAAACGAGTTAATTCAGTACATATAAATCGTCACCCGACAGCAGTGGCGGAACCAGGAAAATTAGTTATGGGGGTCATAATATTTTTTTGTTATAAATATTAATTTTATTATGAAAAAATATCATCACAATTTTTTTTTAGGTTGCATAATTAAGTTTTAAACAACAAAATCAATAAAAAAAAAACTTAGTTAAAGTCCAACCGTTTGTTAAAAAGCCCAACAATAATGTTGAATCTCAGTTAAAATATAGATAATTCCTAAAATTAATGGTATATTTTTATTTCAAATTTTTATGAGAGGGGTCTATAATATTTGAGAGGGGTGTCAGTAGCATTCTTGGACATTTGTCAAATACTTATTTTAACAAACTTAAGCTGAAAATTTTAATTTCATGGGTGTCATATGACCCCATGTTTCTTCATTGCCTTCGCCACTGCCCGACAGCGTGAATAACTGAATATATTACATATTGAATACTCCAAATATCGTTTTCTATCGGCTCAATAAAATTGAAATGTTCGATAATGACTCTAATTTCCAGCAAGACATTCCATACGGTTTTTTTTGGTTTTTTGGTGGTTTGCGATTTTAATATTAATATACAATTTCCATGCACTTTTTACACCAAGGACGAAGAGGTTTTTTTTTTGGAGAATGTAACAATTTCTGTATGTGGAGGTTCTTTTATTTATGCAATTTTATCAGATCCTATCCAACTTGTTAAAATTATGATTTAACGATAAATAATCTAGGTTAACAGCGATCTTGTAATTCTTAACTTATTCAGGGACATACTCAAATAACACGTCCCAAGATTTCCTTTGTCGTATGTAGTTTAGATGCACGCTGTTCTACGTTTCTCATGTCCTTATTAGTGCATGAAATAACTTCACTTATAATAAAGAAAATTAACAACGTATTATTTTAATTTAATACATGATTCTTGATGCCCTGCCCTGGCCATATCTTCGCCGGACTCATACTGTCATACATATTTTTAAGTTATATATTTATTGAGTCTGACTATACATACTTGGTTTAACGGAAAAAAAAAAAAGAGACTATATACTTCGCTTTCCTTTCTTTTACTTTTTACGGTCTTATTGCTTTTTGTAAAAAAAAAGTGAAATGATCTGCTAAAAGTCTAAGTTTTACACTGGTCTGATAGGTTTAGACCATCTTCAAAAAAAACTTCTTACGTGGGAACTCGTATCTACAGTGTGAGCCTTGGTGGAGTAGGAAGATTATACACGAATGGCCTCAACTTAAATCAAGACTTGGGTTTAAAACTTCGAAAATGGAGATAATTTTACTTTTTACCGTTTAGTAACATTTCTAAGGATAACAATTACGTTTCAATTCATGGTTGTTACTGATACAAACTTTTTTTTTGTTATCGTTAAATTAGAAACGTCTATATACATAACACGTTCAGATTCAGATTTAAGGAAATATTATGATAAAAAAAAAAAAACACGTTTCTATATCAAGAAAATAACGATCTTCAATATGCATGCAGGAAGACAAATACCACGTAAAAATGTTATAATTCGTGTAATTAGAAAAAGGGATGATTTCTAACACATCTTATTTAAAAATTTACATATAACACGTTTATATTTCAGAAAATTAGTCTGATTAGTAATGGAAATAAACATTAATTTTTTTAAACGACAGTTAAAACAAGTAGTTATGAACTAGGACTGTATAAAATCTACAGGGAGGTTCTGTGCATTAATACGTTTGATATACACATATGATTGCTAACGTATCAAAGTTCTGTTATCGTAGCATCCATTTTTATATTCAAACGATATTTTTGTGGTGATAAATTAAAAAACGAAATAGCTTACAACAAAGCATCCTGGCAACAAACAGCCTAATCTACATTTTAAAACATATCTCTGAGATTAGCTAGCATGTGGTTTAAGCGGAAACCCCGCTTCCTGAAATTCTAACTCGAGGACCGTACTTGTTCGAATCATGTGTTCATAATATATTCTGAACTTAATTATTATATCATTTTTGTTCTAATATAATTTCCTATTGTGGTGTTTTAAAATAAAGATAAAGTCTTAACACATTAGCAGCACAGATTTTTCTTTACCAAAATCTCATTGTAATAAACTTTGGATACAATATACATAATTTATAAAAACAAAGTTTTGTAAACCAGCTTCGAACGTTTTTGTCAATGAATCTTAGGAGCTTGGAAGGAGGAATGGGAGTATCTACCATGTCTTCTACGGTTTCGTTCTCGCCATAAACTGTGTAATGCTAATTGGAATACACACCTTATAGTGAAAGTATATGTAGTTTTGGCTGAGAAGTATGAACAATAAGTTTAAATGAGAGACAGAGATGTTCAACAAAAACAATATTGTTCGTCAGTGGATTGATAACAACAAATCAACAATACATCGGACATATCAAATTATCAATCCATGTGACTGCTAGACGCTATATCTCTGAGGCTCACGTTTAAATAATGGGCCTACACTGATACATAAACTAAGAAATAAATAGGCCTTTCATATTACCCAGATGGGTCTTAGGAGTTAGGGCCATCACTAATTTGCCATATACTTATAACAATCACTTTCAGATCCTGCGAATGTTCACAGTTGTACTTACATTTACATAATTACATCCACATATT